TTTGGGAGAGATCGATCCTCCTCTCGAATTGAGGATCAAGTGTATCTTGCTATTTTCCGTGTTCCTTTCATCAAATCATACAAGTTATCTACTGTTTTTGTGCAGACTTTTGTGAAGATTTTCGCTATTTTCCATAGATTGATAGGAAATACTTGAAATTTACAAGTGTTTCCTATCAAAGACATACAGGGCACTAAAGAAGATCAAGATGAATAATGAATATAAACTTTCTATGCAATGCATGTCTGGTATTTATGTGGCATGAAGAATATATTGAGGATGTTCATGAAGAATTTTGTGATTGCTTTTGCAACATCTTCATCTACAGTCAAATGTGGGAGAAACATCATGAACACTTTGAAAAATATTTGAACTCCTATAAAAAATAAGATTAGAGAGAGTCGCTTTAGATGGTTTGGTCACATTAAACGGAGGCCTTCCGATGACCCGGTTTGGAATGTTGAGGTATTAGATTTGACTTATGTTAAAAAAAGGTAGATGTAGACCTAAAAAGACTTGGTTAGAAAATATCAGAAATGATCTTTCTTTATTAGATTTAAATGAGAATTTGACTTTTAACCGGACATAATTACAAAAAAAGATTCATGCAGACTCTACGTGGTGAGACAAAGGCTTGAAGTTATTGTTGTTGTTGTAACAAAGAACCAACTGCTCCCAAACCTAAAGAAATGTGACTTTGAGAAGAACCAACTTTATTTGGGATTTAAGGTTGGTTTGTGGAAGATTAAGATCGACCCGAGAAGGTTAATGCCAAATTTGCAAAAAAGGTTCAAAGTCGGAGCTAATGCTTTTGGATATACACTAAAAACATTTTTTTATGCAAGAAGGGAGACTTGTAGTATATTATTCTGAGTGTGCCTAGAAAAATTATCCAATATGTGAAATTTTAAAGCCATTTGAGACTTCAATGCAAGATGACGTAGAAGAAATACTCTCTTCTCAATGACCTATTACATGGTCGAGAGTATCAGTTGAAGGACGACCAACTTTTAGCAAAGATAACCGCAAAAATATGTCACACCCTTAAGGTGGTTTACAAAGTTGACAAAAGTGCAAGTAGCCTAAAAAAAAGAATGTGTGTGAGTGAGAGAGAGAGAGCTCCTATAGCTTGATTTACATGAATGAATTGCCTCCCTAAAACACTCATAAGATCAGACGATCACTTGACATGAAGAGAAGGGCAGAAGTACAAGCCATGATACCTGTAAAGCTAAGAAGAAATTTGAGAGATTTATAAAAAAAAATAGTTAATAATGCTTATATTCAAGTCATTAGGGATATGTATGAAAGTACAGTTACTTGTGTTCAAACACAAGGTGGTTTGACCAAGTATTTTCCTATTTATGTTGGATTATATCAAGGATCAACCTTAAGCCCATATCTTTTTGCTTTTAGTCATGGATGTTCTTGCTAGACATTTGCAAGAGGTTGCACCCTGGTGTATGCTTTTTGTTGATGATATTCTTAGTGTTGATAAGACTAAAAAGAGAGTTGAATGTAAACTTGAATTATGGAGATCAACCTTAGAGTCTTTAAGCCCATATCTTTTTGCTTTTAGTCATGGATGTTCTTGCTAGACATTTGCAAGAGGTTGCACCCTGGTGTATGCTTTTTGTTGATGATATTCTTAGTGTTGATAAGACTAAAAGAGAGTTGAATGTAAACTTGAATTATGGAGATCAACCTTAGAGTCTAAAAGGTTTTCATTTGAGTAAATCTAAAACTAAACATATGGAGTGTAATTTTAGCAGTAATAAATCCAGTGCAGGGTTTGTGACTTTGGGTGATCAAGTTATTAATAAGAGTATATGTTTTAGATATATTGGATCTATTGTTCAGAGTGATGGTGAAACAGATGGGGACATTATTAACAGAATTTAAGTTGGATGGTTGAAGTGAAGAAATGCATCAGGCATGTTGTGCGATAGAAAAGCCCCCCCTCAAACTCAAGGAAAAGTTCTATAAGATGGTCGTGAAACCTGCAGTGCTTTATGGTGCATAATGTTGGCCATTAAAAGAGAAGCATAATATTAAGTTAAGTGTTGCAGATATGAGAATGCTCAGGTGGATGAGAGGCTTTACTCTTAGAGATGGGATACGAAATGAGCATATACGTGAAAAGGTTGGAGTAGCTCCAGTGGAAGATAAGATTAAAAAGAGTCGCCTTAAATGGTTTGGTCACATAAAACGCCAGCCTTCCGATGAGTTGGTTAGGAAAGTAGATGTATTAGATTTGACTTATATTAAGAAAGGTAGAGGTAGACCTAAAAAGGCTTGGTTTTATAAAATGTTAGAAGTGACATTTATTTTTAGATTTAAATGTGAATTTGACTTTTAACAGGACACAATGGAGAAAAGAATTATGTAACTGACCCCCACGTAGTGAGATAAAAGCTGTGATGATGTAGTTGTTGTAACAATTATACAACAAACAACAACATCAAGTCCCTTTGTCCACTACGTGGGTCGCTTATCAGAATTCTTTTTTCGACATTGTGCCATGTAAAAGTCAAATTCTCATTTAAATCTAATAAAGAAAGATAATTTCTAATATTTTAATAAACAAGTCTTTTTTAGGTCTACCTCTACCTTTCTTAACATAAGTTAAATCTAATACCTCAACTGTTTCTAACCGGTCATCAGAAAGGCCTCCGTTTAAATGACCAAACCATCTAAGAGTCTCTACTCTACCTTTCTTAACATAGTCAAATCTTAGTGTGTTGTACATTAAGAAATAAAATAAATATAAATTTAATGAATTTATAAATTAAAATTTTATAAATATAAAATCACACCAAAATATGTTGAAATAACCTTCAATTAATTTTGGATCTAAAAATTCATCATAAGACTACTCCAAAAAAAAAATGTTGAAATGGTATTAAAATTATAACACTCAGAACAATGCTTAATAAATTCTTAAGATTTTTAATTTGCATCAACCAAAATGAAACTAAAAAAAACATTTGGAATGGCAGAAAAGACGCTTTCTTCCTCAATACAGGAGCTAGCAATTTTTTTATTCACTTTCAACAGAATCCACTCCCATGCATTGGAATAATTACATAATACATACCTTGAACCAATAGCA